ATTCACTTTACTAAGCCTTTTCCTTTGTTGTATTAGACATAAACTATGGAACTAAACTGATTTATTTCTCCATTATGTGTGTATGTGTTTCTCTGTTTTGTTTTCAGGCCAACGTTTAGAAGAATCATGAGGAACAGATCGACGGAGCAATTCTCGGGTTTACCATACATTTACGCTCTCTTAAACTGCTTGATCTGTCTTTGGTACGGCGCGCCTTTCATATCGCACAGCAATGTCATGCTTATGACTGTGAATTCTGTTGGAGCCACTTTTCAGCTTTGTTACATTATCCTCTTCATTATGCATACAGACAAGAAGAACAAGGTTTCTTGATTCGATTCTACTTCGTATAATGTGTTTTTGTAAAACTCTAATCAAGATATTGATCATGGCAGATGAGGATGCTTGGTTTGATTCTTGTGGTGTTTGCTGTGGTTGGAGTGATTGTAGCTGGAAGTTTACAGATACCTGACAGGCTCACACGATGGTACTTTGTCGGGTTTTTAAGTTGCGGTTCTCTTGTCTCGATGTTCGCATCGCCCTTGTTTATTATCGTAAGTTCCCAAAAATGTCAACCAAATCTTCTCATATGTGCAGCTTTCTTGATTCTTGATTGCTTGACTTGTCTGGTCCTTTTTTGCAGAACTTAGTGATACGGACTAAGAGCGTTGAGTTTATGCCGTTTTATCTCTCTTTATCGACTTTCTTGATGAGCGGTTCTTTCCTTCTTTACGGGTTATTCAACAATGATGCCTTTGTTTATGTAAGTTGCTTCTTTTCAATAATTGCTATTGCAATTTGTGTTGTTCCTCTTAAGAGTACTAACAATTTTTTAGTTGTTTTCGTCAAACTCAGACACCGAATGGGATAGGAACGGTTCTTGGTATTGTGCAGCTGTCTTTGTACTGTTACTACCAAAGGAATTCTATAGCGCAAGAAACAAAGGAGCCTCTGATTGTTTCGTATGTGTGAGCTTCGCGCAAAGAAGAAAATGTGGTTACATCAAAGATTC